ATTTAGAAACTCTTGCTTTTGTTTATTGAATGAAAGCCTTTCTTCGTTTAAAATCTTTTCTAACTGAACCACTTGTTTTTTCTAAAATTAATGTTGGAGTATAAAGTTTTGGTTCAGCAGGTTTTGATTCAGTAGGTTTTGATTCAAGCTCTGCTTTTGAATAACTATGAAAATAATCATTTGAAAGTGCAGAGACTTGTGTTTTGTAGCTATCATTTAAATTTGTATAATCAAACGGAACTTGCATTTTGTCGTTTCTTCTCCGGTTAAAATCCTCTTGTTCTTCTACTTCATCAGAAGATTTTGTAAATTTAATTTGAAAATCGGGACCGCAATCAAGATATTCAAATTTATATAAAGTTGGGGTATAGTATAAAGCTTTTCCTAAAAATTTCGGATTTTCATACCCTAACCCTTCCCGAGGGTTAATGAATCTTATCTCAGAGGGTTTGTTTAGAAAAATCGTTTGATCAGTCTGCCCTCTCTTATATAACTTCTCTTTCTTAGCTTTCATTTTTTCATTTAAATCAATAATTTGTAATTCAAGCTTACTAATTTTAACAATTAAGTCTTCATTCACTAACTTTAACGACTTATATTAGTCCTTTGAATCAGATAATTCGGTTTTTAAGATGTTGGATTTTTCATGAAATGATTTGGATTCAGATAGTAAAGATTGTGCCCAATCCAAATTTCCAGCATTTTCATCAAAGAGTTTGATGGAATTTTATTTTTGCGTTTCTAATTCTTTTTGAAAATTATTTGAACGCAATTTTTCAGTTTTTAATTGTTGCTGAAAAGATTGGAGTTTAAGCATCATCTTTTGCATCTGATTAATGCATGAATTTTCCAATACCTCTTCATCCATCTCACCATTCTCCTCTTCTCCTTCATCTGAAGAATCAATTTCAGACTTAGCCATTAAACATATGTGAGCCACAGCTTCTGACTCTTCCTCCTCATCGGTTAATTTTAACCAATGGTCATCCTCAGCTATTAATGCTTTACCCGCATCTCGTTGTTTAGACAGAAGAAATTCGTTCTTATAGTAGTCGGTATTTCTTGTTACCGGCTTTCTGTTATTTACCGCAAAATGACCCAACTTGTCACAGTTGTAGCATTTGGTATTTTCATCCGCAACTCCTTTGACAAACTTCTTCTTCTCTTCAGGTTTCTTTTCATATTTCTTTTCATATCTCTTATCGTCATACTTCTTCTTTTCATCGAATTTATCTTTAAATTCATATTTTGAACCCGAAGAGAATCTCTGATTATTCGAGTGCGGTTTCTTCTGAAACATCTTTTGAAATGCTTTGGTCAGCATTGCCATGGCATGTTTGAATTCATTCATTTCTGAATCTGAGTCAGAGCTGTCACTTCCTTCACTTGACGATTCACTTGACTAGCTAATCACTTTCACTTGCTTCCCAGATCTGCTTTTACTCTTCTCCTCAGATACAAAGGCCAAAGGATCAGAAACTTCCTTTTCCTTTTTCTTCTTTGAATCTCGGACCTCTAAAACTTCTTCCTCGTTCTGTTTCAGAATTTTATAAACCTCGTGAATATCAATATCAGATAAGGATTTATTAAATCTAATATGATTGGCATAAGGCTTCCACTCCAGTTGTAAGTTGCTGAGAAATTTAACATTAATCTCAATGACAATTTTAGAGATGCCATTCTTGGTAAGCTCATTCAGCAGTCTGGTAAGCCTATCATATACATCATCCAGGCTCTCTCCTTCTTTAGCCTTAAACTCTTCATATGCAGAAATGCAGTTTGTGATTTTTAACTGAGTTCCCACCTTGGAACCCATCATCAACTTCTCTATCTGCACCCACATGCTGTGACTAGAAGATTTGTGACTGTCAATGCTTGTATAATTGTCATTGGTCAGCGTTTGCATCATATATGATTTGCACAGCACATCAGCATGTGCTCTCTCCTTTTCTTCAGCAGTGTATCTGGATTTTTCTTTGATTATTCTTTGAGCAGGTCTGTCTTGTTCAGGAATGGTAGGTGTCTCTCTATAGAATACTGATGGTTCTTCCATCAGAGATTACATGATCAGTTCACCTTCTTTCATTCTTTCAATAAAGTTAAAAAATCTGTCTCTCCACTAATTGTAATCTCCTCTGAATAAAACTGATGGCTTGGTATCAGTGCCAATAGTCATTGCTTCTCTTCATCTCATTTTCTCTAATTAATATGATATCGGATCTTCTGCAGTTCAAAATTTGATTTAAAGGATTAATATTCAAAAAGATTTCAATAAATCGGACACAGGAATTTGCACATACATTCAAGACTTAGAAATTTTAAGCACAAAGACTTATCCGGATTATATATCCGGACAACAAAGATTGTCAAATTTCTAATCAACACAAGTTATCCAGATTATATATCCTGACAACAAAGACAAACAAAAACGCACAATTCACAATATATCCGGATGAGAAATCCGGTGAATTCAAACACTTAGACAAATTTTGCCACTTAACAAAATCTCAAAACGGACGTAAAAAGTCAACAAGTCAACAAGTCAATATACGATCAAATCCGCTCAATTTCAAAGTCAAACAATTCAATCCGCTCAATTTCAAAGTCAAACAATTTAATCCGCTCAAAAAGTCAAAGAATTCAATCCGCTTGACAATAAAAGTCAAAATCCGTACAAATAGTCAAAATCGACAATTCACACACTTATGGTCAAAGTCAAAATACGATCAAGATTTAAATCGCATACAACCCAATGACCAAGATTAAATTGCACAATTTACCAAACTAATTTGCTCACTTAAATCGCACAGGTTAAAATTGGATTACTTCTAAATCGGACACAACAACAACCGATTTAACTCTAACTCGCACACAACAATAAGCGATTTAATCCTATATCGCTCAAAGTATTAACCGGTTTATCAATAAATCGCACAATCAAATTCACACAAAATCACAATTCTTAAATCGCACACAACTATAACCAGTTTAACCTAAATCGACCAATGAGTTATACGATTAATATTCAAGCACAAATACAATTTTAACACTTTTTCACCAAAAATTTGGATCAAAACATGAAAAATTATGAGTTTTTGAAAAACAGTAACTTTTCGTAAACTCAAAAATCACTCAAAAACGATTCAAAACTTGATTAAAATCCAAAATGATGTGAATCAAAGATGTTCAGATAGTAATTGAGAATCTAGTAGTGCAAATTTTAACAATTAACACTAAGAATTGATGAGATTAGAGCAAAAAATGTGCAATCCGATCAAGAACACTCAAGAACAGGCGATGAACAGTCAAGAAAAGCTCTTAAAATCCACTAAATCCATGCAAAATTCCTCAAAAAATTGGTAAACCTCCTATCAAATTGCTGCAATCTGAGCTCTGATACCAATTGATAATCCCAAAATCATACAAATCAGATTAATCTTTCAAGAACAATTGAGATGAGTAGAGAGAGATTTTCACCAAAGTTGAATATTGTATTTCTTAAGAGAATTTCTACAAATAATTAACAGCAAACTAATCTGAATTGAACTGAACTAACTACAATGAACAAGATAAATCTTATTTATACTAGGAAATTACTAAAGGCTAACTATTACAAGGCAAATACAATGGGAGAACTTGAATACAATCAATTAATCACATTGTTGAACCCAACAGTCACAAGTAATGTCATCCTCATAAGATGTCAGGTCATCGCATCTCCCCAAATCAAAATCAGTCTCATTAAAAAATGTAAAATAATCTTCATAGTTTGTGGGCCGCCTAGGTCGTTGTGACCTATCTAAAGGCTCTTGAGTTTCTTAAGATCCAACATTGATTTCTTAAGTAGGTTTGGGAAGAACTGATTCATTTACCTCGGTATTTGTTGTATTCTCATTTTATGACATTAAATGATCACTCAAGGTGACAGGTGGCATCCCGAATGGGATGGAGACATGAATTATTGGTGCATCATCATGAGCCTCTTGTAGTTCAATTCTTCTAAATGATCTACTCCCACGATTAATAGAATTCTCAAGGAACTCTACATGTCTCGTCTCGACAATTCTGGTACTATGAAATGGGAAATAAAATCGATAACCTTTTGATCTTTCGGGGTATCCAATGAAGTAGCAACTAACGATTTTTAAGTCTAGTTTTCCTGATTGAGGGTTGTATAATTTAGCTTCAGTTAGAAATCCCCAAACTCTTAGATATCGTAAGCTAGACTTTCTTCCCATCCAAATTTTAAATGGCGTCTTTGGAACAAATTTCAAAGGAACTCTATTAACGATGTGGATAGCCGTTTTTAATGCCTCGGTTTCAAGAAGGTTAGAATTTGCTAACAAACTACGAACCATATCCATAAGGGTACAATTTCTTCCCTCAGCAACACCATTTTGCTAAGGAGTACCTGACATGGTATATCGATTTACAGTCCTCGGTCTTTACAAAAATCAAAGAAAGATCCAGGAGATTGACCAACATCTGTATGTCTACTAAGTATTCACCTCCCCTATCCGATCGTATCACTTTAGTCTTTCGATCAAGTTGATTTTCAACTTCTACTTTAAATGTTTTAAACATCTCAAGTGATTCAGATTTTTCTTTAATTAAAAACAAGTACATATATTGCGAATAATCATCAATAAACGTAATAAATGATTTTTGACCTCCAATTCCTAGAGGAAAAGGTCCACATATATATTAGTGTGGATTAATTCTAATAATTTGCTACTTCATGTGGCTCTTTTCTTATTTCCATTGGTCATTGTTCCTTTAATAAATTCTACACATATACCAAAATCCGAGAAATCAAGACTTGGCAAAACTTCATCTTTCATGAGTCTCATCATTCTTTCTCGTGAAATATGACCTAGACATTGGTGGCACAACATATATGAAGTTTCTAAAACTATTTTTCTTTTATTCTTAGTCATATTCTCATTCATGTTAAAGAATAGTAGGGATTTGGAAAAATGGTTATCTAAACATAATTTATATTAGTTATCATCTAAATAACCACCTCCAACAGTACGGGAGTTCAAAATAGTAATTACTTTATTGTATCCAACTGTAAATATAAAACCATAATTATTTAGTAAAGATACAGATATCAAATTCTGAGTAACGCTCGGTACATATAGAGTTACAAAAAGATTCAAATAGAAGCCTCCCTCTAATACTAATGGAAGGGTTCCTACAGCTTCTACGTTCAAATCAACACCATTCCCGACTTTAGTTGTTTGTTGGTTTCTTTCCAATCTATGGAGATTGTATGTAAAGAATTAGAAATGTGTAACATGGATCCAGCGTCAATCCACCATGTATTAGTAGGAACATTAATATTAAGAGACTCATAAATCATGAAATTATGAATATTACCTTTCTTTGCTAACCATTCCTTGAATTTAGGACAATCTTTTTGAATGTGCCCCTTTTTATGGCAAAATTTGAATTTTGGACCTCCTCAAAATGATGAACTAGTACTTGCACCCGTCTTCTGGACTTTATTTGGAGTAGAGTTATCTCCAACTATACCCTTACCCTTCCATGATCCCTTTCTTTTCTTGGAGTTAATTGTGGCAATATGAGCGACATCGGACTTTTCAACTTTCAAGCATTCTTCTTCTTGCATACACATGGCAATCAGTTCTCTCATTTTCCATTTCTCCTTTTGCGTATTATAATTGATCTTGAAAGGACCAAATTGCATAGGGAGAGATGTCATGATAAAATGAAGTAGAAAACCTTCACTGATTTCCATGTCCATTCTTTTTCGCTTGTCAGCCATGTCACTCATCATCATGATATGTTCACGCACACCATTAACGTCATCATACTTAGTTGTCAACATTTTGAGGATCAAGGTACTTGCATGAGCTTCCGAAGTACCTTTAAATTGTTCCTCTATAAATTTCAAGAATTCCTTTGCATTTTCGGATTCCGGAATGGCTCCTTGAATTGCAACAGACATGTAATTCTTAATGATCATGAGTGACATGCGATTAGATTACTCCCACTATTCGTAGGCATGTTTTTGATCCGTTGTGCTCTAATGATTAAGAGCAGTGAGAGGATCACTATGAAATGCATGATCAAGGTCCATAACTCCGAGAGTCAATTTCACTTGATCTCTCCATGTTGCGAAGTTAGTACCAGTTAAGGGTTCAATTCCGAATAAGGTACATGCTAACATACACTACCAAAAAACCCACTATTTCCGGCGGCCAAATCCGCCGGAAATCCGCCGGAAAAAGGAATTTCCGGCGGAAAAAAGAGCGCCGGTGATTGTTTTTCTGGTGGCGTTTCCGGCGGAATTTCCCCGTTTCCGGCGGATTTTGGCCGCCGGAAAATCTTCGCCCGTTTTTTAAAAAATCTAGATTAACTTAACCAAGAAATTAATTTTTTTTTTTAAAAAACATTTCCG